GTTACGGTTTCTTCACTGATGGGACCATTGTGGTGGTAGGATCTGCATTGGCATTCCAGCCCATCTTCCATCCACATCTGGTGTGATTGCTACATACCTGGAATGAGATATCCGCTAAATAAGATGTGGAACCACATGAGATGCTGACAAATGGGTCTTCAGCACTGGTCTCCAGGTGTGGTCAAATAACACAACAATGAGGTATCAGCAGCCAGGGTAGTGTAATCCTCACCTCATCATTGGTCAGGAAAGAACCAGTTTGTGGAATTGGGGCATTGAAGAGTGGATGTGCTTGGCTAATTAGCTGTGTACTTCGAGCACCTTAGCATGTGGCCTGAGCCACTTTAAACTACCAGACACTGAACATGAGATAAGAATGCCCCTTGGGGAATGGACTCAACCTTAAGATACCAGGGGAAAAAAAAAAGACATGTTTTGTGTCGCTGAGTAGGACAGTATTCCAGATCTTGAAGGACTGGGAATGTGCCCAACAGTTGGAGACGCTGGTAGTATCTCTTCCTTGTGCTGCATTTGGTTTGATCTCAAGGGTGAAGAGGTGTTAAAGCAAGGCAGAAACTGGCACTGATGACTCTGGTCCCCAGAGCAGAGCATTGACTGTACTGGATGTCCAGGGCATTGCTGAACCTCGACACCAATTCCCAGGGCACTGAATCATCCCACCCACCTGGCCTTCTCCCCCAAAGCCCTATGTGGTGGTTTAATGCAGTCACCAGCAACTTAGGATCAAAACGGTTGTTCTTATGCTGCTGCTGATCTGCCCTCCATGCCAGGTAAGATGTCTCTATCAGCCATTGCATGACTTTTGGTCTCTGAATCCTGTGGCTCTCCAGTCACTGGTAGAGCCTAACCCTTACCCTTCTTCTTCTGTAAGCTGTAACTTCTTCTCTGCTGAAACAGCTGGACTCTCATTATCTCCTATGGCCTGTCACAGTCCCCCAGCTAAAATGCAGCCTCTAATATAGTCTGACCCAGCATTAGCGTACAGCCGCAGCCGGCTCAGAGTTGGTCTGCTCTAATCCTTTGATTCATGGTGACCATCTCAACCCCTGAGGCCTGCCACAGCCTTCCTTCTCCCTTGGCCAGCCTCATGTCCTGCCACAGCATCCGTTCCTCTCCATGGCTGTCAGCTTCCTTCCTAGCAAAACCAGCTGAGACTCCACAAAAAAAAAAAAAAATCTTTCCCTGACACGCTGCAGGTAAGTCAGAGGCAGGACCTTGGTGCTGGCTCTGCCCCAGCTCCCTGCATAGATGCTGTCCTTGTGCCCAGCCAGCGGGAGCTGGCTCCTCGTCCCTGCCGAGGACAGGAGGTGAGGTTGGTGGCCAAGAAGAGGTGATTCACAGAGGGATGGAGGTGCTTGGGCTTTGTGCCTCACCCACCGCGTCTTCCAGAGGGGATTTTTGGACAGCTTCATGAAGGGGAAGCAAATGCCGTGGGCTGCGGCACTTGGTGCATGATTCATCACTTCTGTCGTCATCCCTCCCGAGCTGTATGGGTGATCCGACAGGATCCCTCTTCCCTCGCTCGGCGGGGCTGCGTGCGTGCCCCATTCCTTGCAGAGCACCCCAGCACGGCTCCACTTTCTTTGCAGACATGTATTTTTCAAAGACTCAAGAAGTTGTTGGGTTTTTTGGTTTTGTGGTTTTTGTTTTTTTTTTTTGTCTAATGGATTTCCTTGTTTTAATACAATTGAAAGGGTCTGAAATCCACGCTTTAGATTAACATATGCCAGCTAGATTAGGGCTAATCAGGGTGCAGGTCTGAGCAGATGCAGTGCAGGGCCAATCCTAGACCTGATTACAGTATCTCAGTAGTTTAATCGTCTCTCTCCCAAGGGCGATCATCTCTGCTTTAATGCACAGCAGACTTTCCAGCCCTCTCCTCCTTTGGTTTGTTACCACCCCTGGCAGGAAGGCCGCTACGTCAGATGCTGAGGCGATTTAGTTTAATCCCATGCAGAAAGGGATCTGTGTGTCGCCATCTCTCCTGGAGACTTCCCTACTCATACGTGCACTCCAAGATGCGGCCAAACCTTGGGTGACACAAACTCATCCTCTCCGAAGAAAAACCTGTTTAGGTCTTCACATCTCACCATCTTTTGATAGCACCCGTCGTTGGCGGCAGCCCTACTCTGGTCAATGTGCGCGTTTGAACAGCACGGAGGGATGAGGCTTTTAACATTGTGTGCTCTGTGCTCCATGAGGGTAGTGAGGACTCTGGTCTTTAGGTTGGCCATGGGTAGTAGACTGTCATTTGAGAGCTCCAACAGTCTCCTTTGGGTTAACAACCCAAGTAACCCAAAGGGCTTAGTTGGGTTGTTGGTTGGGAGTGGGGATTTTAGGTGCATCCCAGGCCAGAACTTCAGGTGTGTGCCAGCACCTACTTAAACAGGGATGTGCTACATTTCCTTGAAGGGTCTGATAGGAGATTTTCTTCAAGAGGGCTGAGCATGAACTCTCATTTCAGTGTTTTGTTGCCTAAAACTCTCATCTGTCGGAAAGCACCCCGGGAGCTTTGTACCTTCTGACTCCATGCTGTTCCTAGCAGTCGGTGTTGAACCATCGCACCAGGAAAGCGATCCCTTGGTTGGGCTGTGACCCAGACAAACACAGACATAGCCCTTCTGGTGTGGGGCAGCCCTTTGGCTGGGGCTTCACGTAACTTTACGACCCGCAGAATGCTTTGATATCGCAAAAGGAGGGATGTTGAAGAACTGCAAAGCACGGCTGTGCTTCGCCGGGGTCACCCACCTGGTCAGCACGATTAACTCATAAGCTTTCCTGTCTGTACAGTAAGTTATCTGAGGACACCGAGCTGTGTGCTCCTGCCTTGTGTTATTAAATGAGTGCCCTTGGCAGGACAGAGGTCTGCTCTCTGCCACAGAAACCTGAATGAAAAAAGATTGTACTGCTGTTTTGGGAAAGCTTGGGTCAGGAACCTGCTGTCTTAAACCATTTGAATGCTGTTTCAGGGGTTGGCCATCCTGTGCTGCTGGCTGGGAAGAGTCATTGACCCCTAAAAGCTTTTTTTTTTCCCCACAACAGGGGTGTGGGTAGTTTCAGAAATGTCATGTACAGAGTAGCGTTTACAGGCTCGCTTGTCTACACAATGCTTTACCAAGCCAAAGGCAGTGGTGGGTACAGGCAGATAATACTGGAGTAGAAACACAAACTTTATCTTGCCAGCCTGTGGGATTTGCTATTCCCCTTGCCCTGCCTGGCTGTATCAAGCAGTACCACTGTTCCTTGCTATTTTTTCCACCTCTTTTCATCATTGGCATCACAATATCCTCAGGGGTTTCGTTGTTTTGTTGTCACCCTGGTTGGTGTTACCTAGCTAACCGGGACTCACTGCGTTTGGCACAGTGGTGCTTTCCTCCGTGGCCAAAAACATGCCCGAAACTTTTCCAGCTCAGGAGCATCTGATCCCTTTCTGCAGCTGAGCCAGCCTTAGGAAGAAGGTGTTTCCTACTTTGCTGGACCCCTCCATAAGGGGGGAAGGGCTGAGAAACTTGGTTTGCTTTCCTTTATCTCTGTTACATGTCATATTATAGCCAGTGCCTGGAGCCAGTATGGCTTGGCCAAGGCTCACTGGTCTCATGCTGCCCTTCACCTGTTTGGGTGTGAAGGCAGGAGGACCCGGCTGGGATGGAGAGTGAGCAGGAGGCTGTGCACCATGTCTGCGAGAGGCTGGTGGCTGTACCGGGGCTCGCCGGCAGGACGGGCGATGCTCCTGTGATCCACACGGCGATGGGATCCTTCTGTGCTGTGAAAGGGGGAAGGTGTTCGAGTGGTGCACGGAGTTAAAGGGCATGGAAGTCTTGCAGAGGGGAGAAGCTGAGTTTATCCCTTCCTCAGCCCCAGGACTCCCAATTCTGGGCAAATCAAGTAGAAAAATGTGTTTCAGAAGTATGTTCCTCATCTGTGGGTGACCACTGCTGGGCTGTGTGGTGGCACGCTCACGGCTGCAGGAGAAATGTGTGGGAGCAATCTCTGCCTCCAGCAAAACGGCCTGACGGGGCTGGCTGTACAGGTACTTGTTGTACCATCCCAGCATCTTCTTCGGGTTCCTCCTCCAAAAATGTCTTATTTCTTTCCTCCTTACCCTTATTCTAACCTTATTCTCTCTCCTTGCGGTGCAGGCTGAACTCACCACACTGTCACCCCAACCTACCCCATCCCATCCCTGCTCCCATCCCACATGGCACCGTGGCGGGCGAGTCCGGCACAGCGAGGCCACCAAGCCATGAATAATTACACCAGCACGGAGACTGCTGGGTGGGAGGCAGGTGTCTTCCCCAGTTGCCAGCTTTCCGTGGAACGATTTGGGTTGGAAGGGACCTTTCAACGCCATCTAGTCCAACCCCCTGCTATAAGCAGGGACATCCCCAACCAGAGCAGGTTGCTCAGAGCCCCGTCCAACCTGACCTGGCATGTTCCCAGGGATGGGGCATCTGCCACCTCTCTGGGCAACATGTTCCACTGCCCCACCACCCTCATTGTCAAAAATGTCTTCCTTAGATCTAGTCTAAATCTGCCCTGTTTTAGTTTAAAACCATCATCCCTTGTCCTATTGCTACAGGCCCCACTAAAAAGTCTGTCCCCATCTCTCTCCTCAGCCCCTTTCAGCCCTGGCAGCTGCAGGAAGGTCTCCCCGGAGCTTCTCTGCTCCAGGCTGAGCCCCCCCAGCTCTCCCAGCCTGTCCTCCCAGCAGAGCTGTTCCAGCCCTCGGAGCATTGCTGGGGCCTCCTCTGGCCCCGCTCCAGCAGGTCCATGTCTTTCTTGCACCGAGCTGGATGCGGCACTCCAGGTGGGACTACTCTGATGATCCACAGGATCACCTCTGGAGCAGCACTCCTCGTGTCAAACGCAGCCCCCAAACCCCTGGGGATCGCACCACGGCACATGCCCATGCCAGCCGCATCCCTCATGCCGGTCATTCCCTCCCAACCCTGCTCCTATTTATTTTTTTCTCTCCGCAGGTCTCGTCCAGATCCCCGTCAGCATGTACCAGACCGTGGTGACCAGCCTGGCCCAAGGCAACGGCCCCGTTCAGGTGGCGATGGCACCCGTTACCACGAGGATAGCAGACAGTGCCGTCACCATGGACGGGCAGGCAGTGGAAGTGGTGACCTTGGAACAGTGACGATGTCCTGAGCAGGATCATGGTGATTTTCCTCGTCTCTTACGCGAATAATTTTTTTACGCCTCTCCAGAGATGCAATCAGGTGGCATTGAGTCTCCCAGCTTTGGAAGCAAAGGTTTTGTTAACTTTTTTTTTTTTTAAAGGAAAAAAAAAAAGAAAAAAAATACTAGCAGAGGATGCGTGTTAAGTGCATTTTTATAGCGCCACTCTGCTCTCATAGGAGTGAGAAGCCAAATTGTGACGGGACTTTCATTCTGAGGAGATTTAAAAGAAAACAAAACAAAAAAAAGGCAACGCCTTAGCCCCCCATTCCCCCCCACGCGGGATCGAACAGGGCGAGGCCTGGGGGGATCGAGGCGTGGGGGGAGCACAGACGCCCTCGGCCGAAAGCGCTCCGTCAGCATCGCTGCTGCTCCCGGGCTGCGTCGGCACCTTCCTCCGCGGCATCTCCTGGGCACGGCCCTCCGTCATCCGCACTTGGCAAATTAGATTTCAAAGATTTTAACGTGGACTTTTATAGCAAAAGAAGAAAAAAAAAAACACCCACAAA